TTTGATGTTGGCAAGTATATATTATAAAAAAATCAATTTAATATATTTTTATTAAAAAATAATATAAATTATATCTTAAAAATTAATTTAATAATTTAAATTGATGAATTAAGATGATTATCTAATATTAGAATTTTGATTATAAAGTGGTTATAAATTTAATTTTTTTTTTATTTAAAGTAATATATTAAAAAATAATATAAATTATATATTAAAATCTTATTCAATACTTGCAAGATTTTTTAACAACTTTCAAAACAAATATATTTTTGATAAACTACTCGGGAAAGAAGCTATTGCAGTCCTATCCAGAAAGTTCAAGATAGATCTCTTTGTAATTATGATTGTGATGTCAGAAGGTGAACAGATAAAAACAAGTTAAAGATATTGTATGAGTCTATGGTGTATATAAATTTGAATCCAACAGCTACGGTAAAATCAACAACCCTTTTATTTAAAAAAATAATAATTTACATCGTGCACAGAACACAACAAACGCAATTATCTTTTAATAAAAAAAATATTGCTTTCATTTTTAATTCATCAGCAGTTCAGCACAACTTTACCTTGAATTTTCTACGTGAAAAGATGGTTTTATTGTGAAAATGAAAGACTACAGTCCTTTTCTCTTAACCGTCGCCGTCAGCGTTGGCCGCCATTGCATCACCACCGGACAAAGCAGGTAGAGATCGTCGTTGATTGAAAACTAATATCATAATCGAGAAAGAATTAAAATTGCGCTAGCAAGTAACTTTATGCCAGCCAACTAGTTTGTCCTTGTTGCGTATTAAATTAAACCATGTACTGTGTAGAATAATAGAATAAATGCAATTACACCGATCTTGACTGACTGATGATTGTTTTTGTATTTTAATTTTTTTTTGAAATAAATAAATTGTTTCTAATTTTTCAAAATTAATGTTTGTTTAATTATATTTTCAAAATATAGTAATATTAAAAATAATTTTAAAAAAGTATTTTAATATGTTTCTTAAAATAAAACACAACAAATCTTTCTCAAAAACCTTAGTTTCATTTAATGCAAGGTGATGGGATTGGAATATTTCTTCTTTATTCCAACCCAGTAATTATTTCACATTATTAGTTAGAAATAGTTATTTTTTCTTATCATTTGCACATGCTCCCTTTCCTCGTTTCGGTAGGTGTTTGTCGTGCAGGTGGTGGCATTTGAAGACTACATTATTCAAACCCAGAATAATTACTTAAAAAACTCAGTTGTCAACTATTAAGTTTACACAGAAATATATATCCATGGAAGTTTGGTTTCATCTAATCATCCCAGTTAAAAAATGAGATTCAATCAGTAATTTTATATTATTTTCTTTTTTTTCAAATAAAAATCATTTAAATTTAAAATTCATACAAATCGTAGGCCAATTATTATTTTACAGCGCAGAAAGATTTAAACTTTTAATGATTTCATCATTAAAACTTTAATATTATATCAAATAATTATTTTATAAAATAATAATATTTAAAATTTTAATTACTTAATTATTAAAAATTTAATATTATATCAAATGATTATTTAACACAAAAACTTAAGAGAGACTGTATCATGCCTCCAATATCAGGCATGAACAGTCTCCCAACGGCTGGCCTTTAATTGTTAACCTAGGCTGTTGGTTGCAGCCATTTATCTTATTATGCCTTTGCATTTCTTTTCCCCTGTCAACAGGAGGCTCTTTTGCTTGTTGCTTGGCCAAGTTAGCTCCAATTTTCCAAGCGATTCCTACTTTTTTTTTTTAATTAACGTGAGTGTCTGGGTCAGCTTGCGTGCATCACGATTAATCCCATGGGCCCTGAAGTTAACGACATGTGAACCTCCAGTGGTCATCATATAAGCAACCAAAGACTCGAACCTAAAACAACAGAAGGAACAAACCCTTTAGTTCTAAATTTTTATCATTTGACCACCACATAGAAGGTTCAAGTGATTCCCACTTGATTGGATTTGTTGTTGTTACTCACCTCTTTCGATCAAACCTGCTGCAAAATCTTCTGTTTCTAGTTACAAAATGTCGCTACCAGGTTCTGGGTAAAATTCATTCGTCCAAGCACACCGAGCTCTCGCCTTCTTTTCATGTCTATAAAAATCGGCCACTCACTGCTCCTTTCAATACATTAATCTTCGTGAAGATATTCATTTGCTGTTTATTTATCCATGTATTCTTGTTGCGACGGCAATTTGAATCGTTCTCTTGAGATGAGAAAAGCAAAATAAAATATATCTGGTTGCATTATTATAATAGATAATGCTCTGCAAATCATTAAATAGAAGCTTGAAAGAACTATAAAACTGGGTAGATAACCACCAGATTTTTCTTTTTTTTCAAAAAAGAAAAAGAAAAACTTGGTCGAGCTAACACAGCAGTGGCGTCGAACACAGACAGTGGCGTGGCGATGATGCGTGCACGGTTATTCTAGAAGAGGAGGAAATCTAACACCAGAGAAGGAAATCGAAGTCACGAATCTACCGACATGTTTATTCTCGGAAAGGGAAATGATGCGATCATAGATAGCACAGGGTTTTCTGTTCAATCTATATATCTCTTCACCCAGCATGACATGGGAGGCAGGTAAAACTTCGGCTTTTTCAAGCGGAATAATAAAAGAGCGTGGGGATAACTAGGCTGGTCTCTGGTCGTCTGCTTTCTTGTTGTTATAAGAATATATTAAGAAACAAAAAAAAAAACAATTTACTTAGTGATGGCTTGTTACTGGGCGTGGTTTTTTAAAAAATAATTTTTTTTATTTTAAATTAATATTTTAGTATTTTTATATTATTTTAATATATTGATATCAAAAATATATTTTAATATATTTCTAAAAAAAATTATTTTAAAACACAAAAACCACACCAAAGCTGCAATGGAAAAAATAAAACTGTAAGACACCACCTGTACAGTTGGTTGCTAAATACTGTGCATGAAATTTCATGCACCGAGAAATAAATGGGTAATTGTATAAAAAATTATAGTTTGTTATAAATTTTACTTTTATTTTATATTTTTATAAATTATATTTTATATTTTATAATTCATATATTCAATAATAGTTTACAACCTGAATAATATATTTTATTTGATTTTTTTATTTGATTCATGATATAAGATATAATATATATATATATATATATATATATATAATTTAGATTATTTTTATAACTATTTAAAATATAAATAAAGCAAGTATTGATATCGATCATTTCTTTATTTGTTTGGTAACCTCATATTTTTTACTTGGATTTTATTTAACCATTACTGAGATAATTTTTAAATTCAATTTAGCTCATCTCAAAGATGCAGGTTATTTGCTTATCAAGTTTTCTAGCTAGACATCTATTTTTTTTTATAAAATAAAATAATATTATTTTCATTAAAAAAATATTAATGAATTATAACCAGTTTTTTAATAAATTTTTTAAATCAACCTAAATTTTTTAACTGAATCACTTAGAATTTTTTTTCCTTTTCTGTTTTTATTTAAATTCAATCTAATTTCAACCTCAGATCAACCCAAAAGGTGAAGATTTTAAATCCATGATAGCGGGGTGAGATTCCCCAACTATTTTTTCATTTTCTATTTTTGGATCGTGTTGTCGTAAAATCTGCGTTAACTTGCAACCGCATAAAATCGAGGCTGTAATGTTCCGCGAATATTCGCTGAGGCAAGCCTTGAATTGAGCGTACCAAGAATCTGTCCAAATTGTATTGTTCAATCTCAAATTAGCAATAAGAGTTCCATTTTCTCTTGTTATTATTTTGTACCCAGTGGTATTTGTTTGTCGTGACGTTTTAAATTTATTTGCAGAATTTTTAAAAATATAAAAATTAAATTAAATTCAAAAGTTTTAATAAAATTTTATATTGGTAATCCTTTTAAGTGTTAGAAATAAATTTTAATATTTTAAAATACTATAAAAATTAATTAGAAATCAACTCATTTGATTTACAGTTTCAAAGTGAAGAAATTTAATGCTAAGCTCGACTTCTACAAAATACCTATCTAAACTCATTTTTTTATTTATTTTTAAATGAAAGCAATGATGTTAATATAAAGAAAAAAGAATTGGATTTTTTTTCAAATATATAAACCCAATTTATTTATCGATTGAATTCAAATTAAAAGAATAATGATTCTAAACATGTAGATTTAATCACAGTTGAATTTATATTAAATATTACAATTTAATTTAATTATAATAGAAAAATAATTCTAAATATGTAGATTTAATTATCACAAATTATCATTGGAATTCTTTTGCGACTGAATCAAAACCTCAAGCTGATCTTCCTGTATGTTCAGCACCATCATTAGTGTTTTCTATTTCTTCTTATTATCGCACCATCCTTGGTTTTGATTCCATAAGAATGATATAATATTTGTTTTCTATCCCATATCTTAAGTAGTTAAATTAGGAGGAGTAACTTTTATATATCTATGATTTCAACTATATTAAAATACAGCACTTTTCTCCTTGCTTAGACATCCAAAACGATCTATATAATAAGAAAAATTAAGAGAGTAATAAGGAACCGTCTAGAAATGCAATTAAAACTATGTTTTTTTAAATATTTTTAGAAAATTTTAATATATTGAAATTAAAAATAATTTTTTAAATATTTAAAAAATATTATTTTGAAGTAAAAAATATTTTTATAACAAAGGTGAAAAACTTTAATTGCAGTAAATATACCGACCATGGATTTTAATTACAGGAGGTCTGGCATCAGATGAGGACCAATAAAATTAAAAGAGTGCCTATATAAAACTCTAATAACCACCCGCATATCCACGCCCTTTTCTTTTCCTTATCCCGAAAAATGAAGGCCACGTGGCAAAACCCATACTGGCTTGAAAAATTCATGGAGAGAGAAAGAGGGTTTACGTGGGTGACCTCCTATTACCCGTACATTAACTTGCTGATCCGGTTTTGTGGTAAAAAACTTACAAGATGTTAGATATAAGGGAGGTTTAAGCTACTGTTCTTTGGTGGTCTTTTGCTTTGCCATTTTTAAGAGAGAGAAAAACACAGAGAAAGAATCTCTTGAGAGGGATTTGAATCCAACACCTGGTCTTCTTGGGAGACATTGATTTCCTGGGTTCCCTTGAATTCTCTGGGTTTGTGAAATTCTACAGTGAATCTTCGTTTTGTGTTTTCATTCCTTTTCGTTTAATCTGTACATAATTGTAGAGGTTTCTTAACACAGGAGATCAGTCTTTGTTTATAACACAAGGTGAGTGAGAATTCAATTCTCCTGGAATTTGATTTCCTTTGAATTCTCTTCGTTTTCCTGTGAATTGTGTCCGGGACAGTTGAATTTGATTATTCGGTGAAAATTTCAAGATGTTTTGGTTTTGATGAGATTTTTGGTTATTGGGATCTGATTGTGGAAGTTGGTTTTGGTTCGGTAAGGTGGAATTGGGTTTTTCCGGGAATTGGTATTTTGCAAATTCATGATCACGGTGGTGGTGGGTTTTGTTGTCGAATGAATTTAGATATAAATCTATTTTTTAAACAAATAAAAGCTACTGTGGTTTTTATTAGATTTTTAAGGGTTTTAAGTACGAAGAATTCGGAAATATTTGGATATATTTTGAGGATTTGGGTTTAATGGAAATTGAAATCCAGTTTTGATCTGGAATTAGGACCACAGATTATAAGTCCTAAAACCAAATTTCATTTATATGGTTGCTGTCTCAGTTTTAATTTTATATTCTCGTGATTGAGCGCTGCATGGGGTTTTTGGGATCTCACAGTTAAAATGATAATTCCAGTGGAGAAGGTTTTTTTTTTCCTTCTAAAATCAGATTGATGCTATTTTACCTCTTGGTTTTTTTCTTTTTAACGAGATCACTGTTGATCTCCCGTGAGAAAGAAAGAAAGAAAAAACTCAAAACAATTCGGTTAAAGGGATAGAGTATGGATACATGTCCTGCTATGAGCATTTCTTTTATTTTTTATTTCGTTGAATGTATTTGTTTATTTTCTGCTTCGGGTGGTCACTGGTGGGGTGGGATAGTTATGACAATTATTGCTGTAACCATATTAAGATAGAAGACCTTTTATTTCGATGGGGTGTGAGTGTGTTTAGTTTCTGTGATTAATCAAAACTAAAATGTGGACTGCAATTTTATTTTACTACGATGTCAGAGTATTATAGTTACAAAATTCTGCTTAGTGACAGGATCATGTTTTTTTGAATCTGTACAATGGCGTTTCTCATCTAGTTATTTCTTCCTCTTTTTTCCTGGATTTTTTTGACAGATAAGCGGATCTGAGCAATGATGCTCCTTGTTTGATGAATTCTATTTGCCGTGTATGCTTAAGATATGGTGGTGAAGAAGAGACAATATTATGGTTTCAATGGCTTCCATATGCCCCCAGTTCCCAGGGCTCCGAGATCAGCTAGAGTATGTATCTAATTATGGCTTTCAGGGTTGCCTTGCCCTTTCCACGCATGTTGATTGTTGACCACTCTCTTAACTCTTTGTCTCCTTGTTATTGGTTCCAGCAGAGGGGTTTGAGTTTGAATAAAAAGAAAGTTGAGGATAGTCAATTATGTGCATTTGAATTACTCGCATCCTTAGCGGGCAAGCTATTGCAGGAGAGTGAAAGTTCTGCTTCTAGCAATGCATCCGAAGCAAATAATCAACCTATAATTGGTGGTGGTGGTGTGAAATGTGAGCAAGCTGAAGATAGACCATTGAAAGCAGAATGCCTTGATCATGGAAGTTGTAGAGAAAGTGCTTTTGTCACCGGGTTTTCCTCGCCAAACGGTGATCAAAAGAGCCTTCTAAATGATTTTCGACATGCTGAGAGCTATTCCATTTTGGAGCGCTCTTCAATGATCTCAAATTCTAATTCCTCAGAGAAAGTTGGTGCTGATTTGAAGACTGTGATTTGCAAAAGCAAGAGTGTGTGTGAAAATTTCACTGGTAAAGTTGAGGACTCTTTTGATTCTAAGGTGGCTTGTGATGGTTATGTAGACAATGGGTTTAGGAGACATCAAGTTGGTGATGGGCTAGATACTGGGGGTTTGACTGCTGAGAATGCTTGCAGTTTGAAGGATCCGATGGAAATGTGTATGAAATTTCCCACATTGATCAAACCAGACAGTGATGTTGAATTGCCACTGCGCAGGGAACCAGTTCCTAATACTTCTATTCCAAGGCGTAGGAATGATACTAATTAGGTGTTAGAGATGACGACCCAAACTTTTCTAGGTGTAAAAAGTTGTTAACTAAGCCAAAGGCTTCTAGGCCTCCACAACGAATTGGAGACCGACGAATAAGGAAGTTGCTGACTTCCAAATACTGGAAAGTAGCTCCAAAATTGAAGGAATGTGAACTTTCCAAACCTGGTAAGCAGCACTTCTGGTAGCTTATTTATATCATGCTGTGTATTCTTCTTTTGATTATATCTATTTGTATGCCTGGATGGAAATAAACATATTCTGATATTGGATCTTTTCATTCAGCATTTTTTGAAGGGGGGATGAAGCCTCACTATCGCAAGAGGAAATTATGTTATAGTCGTGAAAGGTATCAACATGACAGTTTTTATAAGAGGAAGTGCACTGACCGTAGTGTAGTTGTGACTTCTGATGGAG